ACTGTCTAATCCACTGGCACGGATTGTGAAGCATAAATACCAGAAATGCTCCCTGTTTTTGGGCTGTTGGATGAAGCCAGTGTGGGTGCAGGGACGCCAGTGTTACGTCAGTTATGGGGACAGAGAGAGGGTGGGCCTCAGAGCCTGCACTCATCATCGCTTTGGATCCAGGAGATGTTGTGCGGGGGCGATGGAGAAGGGGCTCACTGGCCAAGGGGTCTACGGCCACTGTCCGTGCACCATGTCTGGCTCTTGAGCAATCGTCGGAAGAGCAGTAACAGACCTTTTCAGAGGAGCAGACGTTCTGGTAAAGCAGTACACCGTTTTAGTAACTTGCTTAAGAACAGATATTTTTAGAAGGTTCAGATTATTGTGGATGGGAAAGCTCACGTCAAGGGTTCCTGGAAGCCATAGATCTCTGGATGAATTTTAAAGGACAGGTCTGAGAGGATGTTTAAGTAAATGAAAAAGTTGAGTTGTTGAAGTAGCTCAAAAATTCCTATTTACATACCAACAGCTAAAATATTAATGGGAAGCTATCTGCTTACTAGTAATTTGTTTAGTAGAATTCCCTAAGCCGTTTTATATCGGCTTACAACGTACCTTTAGAAGCACGAACACTGTTCTAAGCTGCCCGGTGGGGTTTGGGTCCCGAGGAGGCATTCCCGGGAACAGAGGTGGGGAGGAAGGGATGAGCTTCTCTGGTCGGGAGAATCCGAGCAGCTTCACAGGGCCAGTCTGGGGCCTTCTCCCCTGGGTACAGTCTCAAAGGAAAGTGGTAGCTTTGTGGGAAGTAGGGAGGATGGGTACCGGGGGCTGTCGGTAGGTGACATGAAATGACACAGCAGGAAAACACATTCATGGGACAAGGAGGTGTCGAGCTCAGCTAGAGCGTGGTCCTCGTGGATGGGAGGTTGGGAGTAAAGGCTGGAAAGGTGAATTGGGGTCATCATCCTCACCAGTGACTGGCTCAGTGCCTGTGTGCAACCACGCGAGTGACGGACAGCCCTTGGGTGCCCAGTTCAACATCCTAGTGACTTGAAAGTAATGAGCATATTTCTTTTTTCTAAAGGTAGATGCGCTAGCATTTATTCAGCATCAGCATTCTCAGGAAATTTGGAGATGTAGATCTTTCAGATTACCAAACTTGGTGCTTTTAAAGCACCTAAATTTCCATCCTCTTGAATGAAAATTCTCATCTCTTTTACAAGTTGCCTGCATTTTTAAACAGCACATACTCTTAGAGGATGGCAGCACCCTTCAGAGCGATTTTAACCAGAAATGTTTATGAATTGAGCGGAGCGGACACACAGTCGGGTTACTCATAAACGCAGCTGTGAGAACTACTGAACCAGACAAAGGTCAATCCCAAAACATTTGGGAGACGCCTGTGATTGGCTACTAGAGAAGACAGATAGGGTCTGGTAGAAATGAGAGGGGAAGGTATTCTGATTAGGAGCTATAACATGAAAGGTGTAGAAGCTTAAGGGAGCGAGCATCTGCAAAGATCAGGGGAGGTTTCACCTGCCTGGAGAAGCCAAGCACCAGCCCGAGGCACGGGGGTGGGGAGCACCCGCAGGCGTGCGGCGCGGAGCCCGCCCACCCCGGTTTACCAGAGCCCACTGCGCACAGCGCTTCCCGGCAGCGTGAAGGCACGCTGACCGCTGGAGCCCGGTTAAGGATGTCTGATTCCGAACAAGTGAGTCGGTCAAAGAGAATAGAGGTCTAGATGATTCTGCCGTGCAAGAAGTTTGTTAGAGCGGAAGTTGGGGGAAGGGACACCGCGGTAAGAATGCCACAGGCCGTTGGAGAATGCTACGGCCTTAGTGCCCGGCCAGGAGGCGGTGCAGGAGGAGACAGTGAGCGTTCTTCAGACTTGGGCTGAGGCCCCAAGAGAAGGGATAGGCAGGCCTTCTGCCCCCATCTGTCATGAGCACCCCCGTCATTCCAGATCTTCAGGCTGGAATGCTTCTCAGGTTTGATCCCTTGTCTCCCGCATCAAACACGACCAGTTTCTATTCGTAATCTCTTATTTTCCATTCCCTCTGCCAACAGTCTGGGCAAGAAATATTCTCCTTGTTCCCCTCTGCTTACCCAGTCTCACCGAACCTCATCTGAATTCCTTTGCTCCAGCGAGGCTGAGCCACGCCTCGTGCTGCCCTTCCCCTGACCTCCCTTGGTGTGGAGGTGCCCCTTCAGTGCCCTGGTGCGCCCTGCCTCCTCCGGCTCCCCGTCTGCAGTCTTCAGGGTCTGAAGTCGTGTCTTCTCCTCCTGGTGTTTTGCCTACAAACCTCCAGCAACCTTTATTCATACCTATCCGATACTTACGCTTGGTAAATGAAAAGACCGGCCCCAGGAAGTGTACCGTGAGTCCGCGGGGAGCGGGGGAAGGAGCTGGAACTTAGGCGTATGGACAAGCAGAGGCGGGCCGCGTCTTGGCCCTGCTGACCACCTACGTTCTGGCTGCGCCCA